CCGATTTTATTAATCCATGATGCGTGTGCATGTATGACTTTCAGGCCGGATACTCAGCGTGTATTCGTGGATGTTGGACTCGGATTTTATGTGGAGTTCACCCGTCAGGAAGCTCTTGACTATATTTCACAGAGAGAGGAAAGCCTCAAGAAGTATGATCTCTTTGCCTTTGATCCACATAAGCTACTGGCTTTCTGGAAGTCTTTTAAACTCTGATAATTGCCTTTTTAAACCTTCAAGCACTTGAATACAGAATGTTGAGTGATCTGGCAATAAACGTATATAATCGTATAGATGTGGGCTTTGGTTGAAATCACGCAAAGAAAGAAAAAGGCAGAGGCTTTTTTGAATTCTATGATATTTATTGATAGTGGGGAGTTGAGCTGTATGGTTTGAACTTAGTGTTCTTGCTAGAGTAACTGAACTTATGATGTCGAGCCATGCTGGTGGTTGTCTTTTGCAGACAACTAAAGGAGATAACAGGTGTTATAGCCAAGATTAAAGGGCACATCAAACTGGTAAGTATTGTTTGTAAATCGTTATATCACGCTTTGTAGGAACCCTGCATATACACACACACATATATATATATATATAATCAGTTATTGTGTTGTAATGTTCACGAAAGACCCTAACTTTACGCGTTTCTCACGCAGGCTCATTACCAGATTCAGCAAATACTCAATCTTCCAGAAGAGAATCCGACACCGCAACGTGTATTTTAATAGTTGTTGGCTTCATTGTTACAAATTATTGCCTTCTTTGTTGTGTTATTATTCATTATAATAATTATTTCATATGCCTTCTTCTTTTGAAGTCTCTCGATGAACATTTGAAAACTACTGGAGTTTTTGGTGATTATTTATGTTATAATGATGGTGTTTAATTTCAAATTATCTAATATTGTTATTTCGCTCGATTAGTTACTGCTAGATATATGCACAGAACATTGAAGGATTGACTTGGACCTACAACCCAAGGGCTACTTCATCATGTTTCTGTCTTTCAACTGATAAATCACATGTTTGCATTCGTAACATAAAATTTGGAACTTGATTGTCTGAAAGATCTGTAATTTATCATCTGGGGAAGGTCAATCCATCCAAAAGTCGGAGACTTTGGATCAATCAGCCTAAAAGAGAACTCTCAGGGCACATTCAAAGAAAACTCTTTCATCTGCTGTCTGATTCTTGTCTATAGAAAAAAGACACAAATTATGAACTATCAAAGCATCTCCTGCCAAAGGATCAATAATCTAAAGGAAACACTCCGTGAAGCAAAAAAAATGTTTTTTTTGCTGCCGTCTGACGCTGCGAAAGGCCAACAGAGCTCCATAAGTATATCCCCGCTGATCTAATGTACAAAGCCCAGGGAATAGAAGAGGAAAGAGGAAGAAGAAGAAGAAGACTGTGTCAGTCAGATGACTTTCTTTTTCTCGAAAAACGTCTTCAAGTGCCAAAATTGCATCCCGGCCACTCCCAAGCAGACGAAAAGCGAAAGGAACCCTAACCATGCCATTTTCGTGTTTGTGGCTCGGTTCAGGTCCTGCATCTCTTCTTCCCTGAAAAGGGAACCGACCCATGTTATGATACAATACCACAGCCATGCAGAGAAACATGTCTAAGACTTGAATGAAAGACGGCCATGAGTTTCCTTACCTTTCTCTAAGATAAAACATCTCTTCATGAATCGAGTTGACAGTTTCAAGCAGTTTCTTTACCTCAAATTCCATGACCTGGTGACACACAGTATCAATAACAATAGCGTCAGCAACTAATTCTATCTCCAAAGAGACATTGAATTCCCACAGATGTCCGCTCTCATGGTCCCCATATTAAATCTTTCCCAATTCTATCAAAAGAAACTAACAAAAGATTCCAGCTTTTTGAACAATTTCGTTCCCCAGTTGATCAGTAAACATCCACATACCAAAATCTGACTACCAGAAAGATCACAGGGTCCCCAATGCACAAATGGGTGTGTAATCTTTTCCAAAGGAAGGGAAGAGGAAATGCTAAACTCACTTCGACTTGGCTCTTCTTAGCGACAGTACCCCAGTTCTTGGCATGAACACCAGTCCTCCATTCGAAATCAATGCTGAGCGTCACCTCCGGCTTGTGATCGACGGCCGAGAAGCACGCCGTGTAATCCCCTGCCTCCACCGCCGTGAACGCGAACTGCCCAGATTCCACTTTCTCCGCGTGGTGGTACGTGTTCCCGTAGCTCGACGTCACCTATACATACAGTTGCATTGTATATACGCATTATAGTTTCCAAAAATAAACTCGGAAAAAAGAAATCCAAATAAAAAGGGAGAGAATCGAACGGAGGCGCGTACCCTGATCGAGACCTTGTGCGACGGTGGCGAAGGATGGCCTTCGTTAGGGTTAACGACAGTGTATTTTCCGACAGTCATCGAATTGCTCTTGATGTCCTCGGTTATACACTTTGTCCGACCCGATTGCAGATCGAAGTGCAGCGAATGCGATACACGCGACAACATTCCGACAATCACCAGAACCGTCCATAGCTTTCCCGATCGGAGAATCATCGCAAATTCCAGAGAAACAAGAGAGGGAGAGATCTTCCTTCGTTCGTATATACGTGAAGGAACTTGTGACACGTGTCTGTACATCATTGGTTACATCACGTAACCGAGGATTCAGAGATTTCAGTTTCTTCACTTTATTGGGCTAACGAGAGAATTATCGGCCCTTCTGAATTGGGCCATATGGGCCGTGATGTACTCATTATGGAATTTATCTTTTCCACTAAATATGGATTTATTCTTATGGTTTTTCTTTTTATTTTTCCTTAATTTCCTATGTTAGATACTAGCAAAATAACAAGTAAATTCTTTCTATCAAATGTAAAAGCACGAGAATTATATTGTTTTTAGAAATTGAAAATCATATAAATTGTTCGAGATGAAACCCTGTATTCCTCGAACAAATAACTAACCAAATTATCTAGTTATAACGTGACACAAAATAATAATATATACATACTTTGGTAATGCATGCAACTGCTGAATCTAATATAAGTGCCCATAATTGTTTACATGAAATCACAAGTTTTGCGACGACGAGTTACCAAGTGAAACGTATTATAAGATATGTTATTAAAAACACGACACAACTCTGCAACATATGACTGAGAGAGAGTACTGATATTCAGTTGTTCACATTGCTTTGCCCATCAGAGCTTCCCCTGTCACCACTGCAGCAGTAGAAATGTGGCAGCTTCACTCTCCCACAACTCCTGTAATAAACAAAGACAACACATATGTATGTATATACATATATATTGGCATATGCATATGCATATACAAGGCTTTCTTCAGAAGAAGATTTTAGGACCACAACCAAGTCATCAATCATCTCATGTGCTGTCCACAATGAAGATCACAACAAAGTAGATTTCCGGGTTTTCAGTTCCAGTTGGAGGAGACTCCAAGTTTCTATCAGGAGAGATGATAAAAGGAACATAAACATTCAATTACCAAGATTCTATTGTTCACTCCTTCTGCAGCAAATAGAACTACCAACACTAGTATGAGACAAGAGGAAACAGATCTTCTCCTGGTACCTGCAACGAATGATGACAGGAGTAGGTTTAAGAGCCTTTGGCCCGTTTCTTATTCCTCTCTTGTGGCGAGAAACCTGCATGATTTCAAAAAGAAAGCTTCCGTTAACCCTACATTGTCGACATAGCTCATACAGAATAGGCCGAGTTCAATTTCGATCCTCTCGGTCAAATGCAAGAGAACCCTTTCTACAGCTAATTACACAGAAGACTTCTTCACTTGCATCCTTATCCAAAACTAAGCAGTTAAATGATATACAGATTGAAAGCCTAAAACACTGACAGAGAGACAACAATGAGCTTTGCCTCTGTTTCGAAGTGATTCCAGACAAACAGATAGAGCCCTATTCGATCAAGAGATCAAAACCCAGATCCCTTAACAATCTTAAACATCAAAAGGCTGAAACTTTAATCTGCGAAACGAAAAACGAAAGGCGACAAGCAATTAGGAGATTGATGGTTCCACAACCTTCTTCTTGGGGACAGCCATGAGCTCCATGGATCCACCGAAAGAGAAACTCGGCAACCCGAACCCAGTAGCCTTATCTCCGAAAGAATCCGATGGATTCTGATCGAACTCCGGCAGACCCAACGGCGTGGATGCGACGGGAAGATCGAAGGCGCCGCCCATGGGAGGTGGCATCGCAGCAACGTGGCTCCAGCTTCGGCACCCCATCATACGGCCCGAATCAACCGCGGCGCGTTTAATGGTCGCCAGTCTCAACGCCATGATGATACTGTTCTTCAATGCTACAGCCGACGGAGGACGATGATCCCACCAGCGAATAGGGTTCAGAGCCTGTTTTACGGTTCTGCGTTCGGTTATCGGTTTGATTTAAGACCAAAAGTACATAACGGAAAACCGAACCAAATGACAAAACCGTGATACGACATACGGTGTCGTTTTAAGTTCTTGGGTTTTTCTTGCTTCTTGGAGAAAAATTCAGACCCTGCAAGGTAGCATAAGCAGCGGCCATGTCGTGGATGAAAGGAGATTTGCTTTCAGACCAGGAAGCTTGTCGGTGGCTTGGTTACACGAGAGCCTTTATGGCTCAAAGCCATGGAAGCGTACTCTCTCTCTCTCACATTTCAAGAGAATGAAGTGATTTAGGTCGATTTATCTGCTCGAAATTGCATAATTTCGGTTTAGTTTGCATAATGCGCTTATGGGTATCCGTTTTGTTTGCAACCAAACGGATTTTGTATGAAAAGTTTGAGACTTTTGCATCTGTATGTTATGATTTTGGATATTTAGAAACAGGGTTCAGGGTTTATGTTCTGTTCTATACGGCGATGTTGCTGGAAATCAGATCTGCTTTTGAGTTGCGCATTCATGTTTGTTGCTGACATTAAATATTGTTGATTGTTGGATTTGCAGTTCACCCCCTCCAGTGTTTCCTCGATCTGAAGGGAAAATCAAGAAGATCGTTCTCCCAGAGGATATGCACGTGCGGAAATTCTACAGCGAGTATCCTGAGTCAAAATATGAAGACCCCATCAAGTAAATCTCTTTCCACTCTTATATGTTTGTTCCATCTCCATTGTTTTGTTATGGCTTTTCAATCTTCATGAGGTTCTAATAGTGTAGTTTGAACAATCCTTTTGTGTTTGAAAGGGTAAACAGGTGATGAGAAAAGATTTCGTTTTTTCTATATTATGCCCGATTTTTCAAGCGTTATCCATGTTACCGTATATCCCAAGAACTGTTATATTCGAAGGAATCGGGTTTTGATTTTGCATCTGCGGTTATTTAGAGTCAGGTAGCCATATCTATCTAGCTCCCTCGCCTTTCTGCTTCTCAGCATTGCCTGCTTATGTATCAGGTTCTGTGTTTTGTATATAGTGTCTTGACATTATTCATCTCCACAGGATCGCGTCATGTGTTCCAGAACCAGCACGTGTATTTGGAATGCGAGTGCGTATTGAAGGAACATGGCGTTAGCGAAGAAGAAGCCATGGCTGTGGCTGATGTACCTATTTCATTCTTTTCATGGTTCTTGATCGATAAACAAAAGGAAAAACGGTTAGAGTTTAGTTCTAACCCTCCACTATTCCCGTTGTTGTTTTCAGATGGAATACAGCTCGGAGAAAAAGGCAAAGAAGAAGGCATACAGACGACTGAAGGAACTTGCGAAAATGCAGGGGAAGAAACCTCCACCTAGACCGTACCCGAGTGCCGTGAAAGGGATACAAGCTCCGGAGAGGAAATACGTGAAGGAACGTTTCCAAATTCCAAACTTACGGAAGCTGGTTAATCAGCTGAAACAGCAGAGAGAGCTGTTGTTGCATGATGGAACTGGAGGAGGAGCTGCTGGTAAGAGTAACTGGATGAATGAATAAAGATCCTGATTCTCTCACTTGGGTAGGACAATGTTTCTTCATTTATGTTTTGAGTTTCTGGTTTCCGGTTTACTGTGTAATTGATTTCAGTCCGGTTTAGCAAAAGTTGGTTCAGTTTGGTTCAGCAAAGTCTACATTCAAGAGCTTTGGTTAAGCTAAACCAACACATTCTCAACAGACCGGTTTACAGAACATACCAAAGTTCAACAGTATCATCAAAGCAAAGGACTTCTGTTCTTTGTGTCTCACAAGTGAATTCCTCCTGTCTGTCTTCTGAACCTACTGATGTCACTCCCTTCAGAGATTGCCATACCGATCCCGGTTTTTCCTCCATTACCAATACCTCTGTAATACAATCTCCATCGATGATCTGAATCTCCTTCCATCTGAACCAGACAAGGTGACCCGACTCCCTCGTTGTCCCATGCACTGCCTTCAGCCGCCTCGAGCACTGCCTTATCCTGTACCCCTTTCCAGTCCTTCAGTCCATCTTCTGAAACCGCTAAACCGATACTCCTCTTCCCATCTCGATCGACTCCTTCGTACACCATCACATAGCTCCCATCTCTCTTGTTTCTTGATACACAAGGATTTATCCCCCCGAGTTCGTCGAACCAAAAAGACCCATCCTTTTCGTCTTTTCTTCCTCTTCCTCCGATGATCTTTCCCAGTTTCACCCATTTGATTCCGTCTCTAGATCTCGCAATGCCTATGCAGAACTCGCCTATTTTCGCGTCGAATGAATGGTAATACATTCTTAGGTCACCATCTCCGTGGAAAACCACGTGTGGGGAGGCAATGAATAGAAAGTCCCAATCTTGTTCGGACCCAACATCAAACAATGCCCCACTGTGATGCTCGCCTTCGATTCTAGCCCAATTCCGACCATCTTGGCTTATTGCTAATCCAGGAAGTGACCTAAAAACCTCAACTTTTCCTCCCTCGCCATTACAAAGACCGAATCTTTCTGGATTTTTCAACCCAAAAGGAAGACCCTGAAGATGAAACTCCACTTTCTCAGACGAGTAACCAGTGTAATACATCCAATAAACAGAGCTGTTAGCTCTGACTTTGGTACTCGACATTATTACAACTTCACCTGGTCGAACGTTTTCCGTATCAAACACCCACCAATCTTTGCAACAGCTCATGACCAAGCCCACATCGCCGATCGACTCAACCCTCCCTTCCCCTCTCTCCCAGTGAATCCCATTGCTCGAAACTGCTAATCCGACACAATCGGAAGCTGGATTGAGCTTGGAACTCCCGCGGTACCACATGTACCATCTCTCTTCATCGTCACTTAGAAATCTCTTCACGACAGGTGACCCTATCTCGTCGCTGTCCCAAGAATCCGCAGAGAGGGCCAGACCCAGAACCAAACCTGTCGGAGAAGATGAGGTCGGAGCTGGAGACGAAAGTGATGATGGGCACTCTGGTTTTGATACGAAGGTCGAATTTTGATCTGATTCTCCATTTTCTGTGATGGGTTTAGCGAAGCATCTCGCGAGCGAGAGAAGAGAAGAGCGTTTGTTCCGATCGGTAGGGCTTTTGAGGGAGAGAAAAGCCGATTTTGGTCGTGGAATCGTTCGTGGAGAAGTGACAGTGAAACGAAATGCAGGAAAGTTGGCGGCTTTCGTCGCTGGAGCAGTAGCAGCTTCCATGGCGGAAAGCGGAGATTCTGTTTCGATTGAGTTCAGGGGAGACGAAATGAGATGGACCTTGGATTTCTTGTTGGATGGCTCACCAATGGGAAGTTGACACATTTCTCTTTGCTGAAGTTAAATGCTCAATTTTTTATAATTAAAAGATTGTCCTAATTTCTAAAGTTGCAATTTTTTACGTGAAACAATATGAAATTTTCAACAAATGGAATTAATATTCAGTTATAAATCTCGGTAAAACAAATTTAATTAACTGTCAACTATATATCTATTAAATGATTTCGTATATGTAAATTTTTATTTATGTGTCAGACAATCATCTTATTCACCTACCAGTCTAATTTTACGATGAAATTTGACTATATAAAAATTAGTTACCTTTTAACAGTTAGAACATATCATGACTATGTACTTGTTAATTATATTTGCAGACTAAAATGAATACATTAAATTTCAAAAATTTAGCAGGCATGAAAAATGTTTTAGGTACGGGTTATAAGATATCCGGTTAAATCCGGTTCGTAGATCTAACAGTAAACCGGTATAAAATTTGGGCCAGCGGCCTGTCGGTATATATATATTCTTAATTGGATATTATTTTCGAAGGAATTTTTATGTAAGATGTTTACAATTAATTTTCATGTAAGATATTTGGATATAAAAACACTTATATTATTAAAAAGAAGAGAGAATAGTCGCAAAATACTTATACTTTTTTCAGATCTCAATTTAATACATATACTTTTTTAATTACTTAATAATATATATACAATTGGTTTTTCCCCAAATAAATTCTATAATTTTAAATTATTAACCAAAAAATATCTACCGTCAAATAACCGCCACGTAGACAAACATAAATCCTATATGGCGATAAAAATTTTCAACTCCTGATCCCCCCGCCATATCATCACTATATAAAAAATTAAATAAAAAATTAATAAATAATAAATAAATTAATAATGATAATAAATTAATAAAATAAAAAATAATAATAATATACATATACATACATAATATATATACATATATATATATACACATCCATACATATATATACATATATACATAATATATACATATAAATACACATATATATATATTAATACATATATAAAAATATACATATATATATTTATACATATATACATATACATATATATACATTTACATATATATATATATATATTTATATATGTGTATGTATTTATATGTATGTATATATATACGTGTGTATATATGTATATGTATGTATGTATATGTATATATATATGTATTTATATATATATATATATACGTGTGTATGTATATATTTATATACGTATGTATATATACATATATACATATATATGTATGTGTATATATTTTTTATTATTTATTTTTATAATTTTTTATTTTATTAATTAATTATTATTATTATTTAATTTATTAATTATTTATTATTTATTTAATTTCTAATGTGACGATGATATGACAATAATTAATTATTATTGAGAATTTTGTCGCCACGTAGTATTTTCGTTTGTCTAAGTGACGGTTATTTGACAGTATGTATTTTTTTGCCAATAATTTAAAAATATAAAATTTATTTGGGGGAAAACCAATTATACAGATATTATTTAGTAATTAAAAAATATAGATATTAAATTAAGAATAGAAAAAAATATAGGTATTTTATGGCGATTTTTCCTATTAAAAATAATAATATCACATGAAATAGGATGATTTCTAGAACATATATATGCGGTGAAATAGGATGATTTCTAGAACATATATATACGGTGTTTATTTTTTTCGGTTGTTGGTTGAGAGGTGGCTTAGCGACTTAAACCGGTAGAAGGACTGAGGACAAGACATTAATACGGTCTTCTAAACCGGCCCTGAAGATTACGGGCATTTTAAGAGGCAAAATTGCAAAAATAACCCAACTTGTCGATTTGGACTTCACGACATGACCCTCTAGGTTTAGGGTTTTAAAAAAAAAATCTAAAATGATAAAAAGACTAATTTGCCCTTAAAATATTGAATACGTGGCAACTCAATGGAAAGCAGGAAACGACAACAACTCTCTGTGTTTCCAAATTTTCAAACAAACAACGGACGAACGTCTTCTCCTCTCATCCGGTTTCTTTCTTCAATCGCGCAAATCTCTCGGGTTCTTCTTACAAAATCGTCTTCTGTCGGCACAAATGGCTTCATCTTTGGCTTCTCCTTCGGTTACTGCTTCGGTTTCTACTTCAGAAGATCTACAGGTATGGTACACTCACCGAAAAAATTGATTGCGTCGTTCGTCCTCTCTTTGTCTTTGTGTTTATGTGTTTGTTTCGGGTTTAAACTCCAATAGAGTAATGTTCGAGTCGTTTGGGTTAGAAAAATTAGGGTTTTAGGTGAAAAATAGAGATTTTCAGAAAGATAGTTAATGAAAGTCGAATTTTTTGGTCAGACGGTTATATTACTCGAATTAGTCAGACCCATGAAATGGGTAGACCAATGAAATGGTCAGACCAGTGAAATGGTCAGACCCGTGCAGTGGAGAAACCAGTGAAGTGGTCAGACCCTTGAAATGGTCAGACCCGTGAAGTGGACAGACCAGTGAAGTGGTCAGACCCGTGAAATGGTCAGACCCGTAAAGTGGGCAGACCAGTGAAGTCTGGTTAGACCCGTGAAATGGTCAGACTCGTGAAGTGGGTAGACCAGTGAAGTGGTCAGACCCGTGATGTGGTCAGACGAGCGAAATGGTCAGACCGGTTAAATGTCAGACCCGTGAAGTGGTCATACTTCACTGGTATGACCAGATTTATTGTAATCATAGTCTGTTTCGTAATTGTAATATAATAAAACTGATCATGAGAGTTAATCTAATTGTTGCAGGTCCCTTTTGTGTACGCTTTCAAGGATATTCAACACCGTGCATTAAGGTTGGAAGGAGAGGAAAAAGAGTTTTGGTTTGTTGTAAATGGCGTGCCCATCAGATACTCGATCCAGGAACATGCCATTATCTCCGACTTAAATTTTAACAACTATTCGGAGGACTGGACTAAATGTAAGGGAAGTGAATTTCGGAAAAGAATATTCGGAACTTCAAAAGTTACCATAGAAGAATTTAATTTAGGTCTTTTTTTCGTACCCGAATGGTCAGACGGTCAGACGGTCATATGGTCATACTATGGTCAGACGGTCAGACCTATTTGAAATTGCGAGATTCATCGATTTGAAAGTGTTAACATCGTAATAATTATCTCGTATGATCGATTTCTCTAGTTGAAATCGGTAGTAGCAATATGAACTGAACATCTTTTTTTGATGTCAAAGTAACTCTTTCCAAAGAAGACCTAAACTAGTAGTAGTGTTTGTGCAACACATTGGACACAATTGACTTATGTTGGTAGATTTTTTTTCTCCACACGAAATTAGAATTCCAACACGATGAAAAAGTATTCTTATAACCTTTATACAACTTTTTTAATCCTTTAATATGCAAAGGTGTATAAACAGATTGGCGATACCTCAAAGATACATATTAATTTGGTGATTTCTTTTATAGTGTCACCAGTTGGATTGGTCTGACTAATTGAATTGGTCTGACAAATTGAATTGGTCTGACCAGTTTGTGATTAGTATGACCAATTTGTAATTGGTCATACCTGTCATAATGTAGTCACACGAGCCATTTTTTCAGGGATTTCGAAGTGTTCTTCAAATATATAGCAATGAAGGTGTTAGCATACCATGGTCAGATGGTCAGACCTATTCGAAAGGTTTGAAAGTGTTAACATCGTAATAATTATCTCGTATGATCGATTTCTCTAGTTGAAATCGGTCGTAGCAATATATGAACTGAACATCTTTTTTTGATGTCAAAGTAACTCTTTCCAAAGAAGACCTAAACTAGTAGTAGTGTTTGTGTAACACATTGGACACAATTGACTTATGTTGGTAGATTTTTTTTCTCCACACGAAATTAGAATTCCAACACGATGAAAAAGTATTCTTATAACCTTTATACAACTTTTCTAATCGTTTGAATTTAATTTAGGTCTTTTTTTCGTACCCGAATGGTCAGACGGTCAGACGGTCATATGGTCATACTATGGTCAGACGGTCAGACCTATTCGAAATTGCGAGATTCATCGGTTTGAAAGTGTTAACATCGTAATAATTATCTCGTATGATCGATTTCTCTAGTTGAAATCGGTCGTAGCAATATGAACTGAACATCTTTTTTTGATGTCAAAGTAACTCTTTCCAAAGAAGACCTAAACTAGTAGTAGTGTTTGTGTAACACATTGGACACAATTGACTTATGTTGATAGATTTTTTTTCTCCATACAAAATTAGAACTCCAAAACGATGAAAAAATATTCTTATATCCCTTATACAACTTTTCTAATCGTTTGAATTTAATTTAGGTCTTTTTTTCGTACCCGAATGGTCAAACGGTCAGACGGTCATATGGTCATACTATGGTCAGACGGTCAGACCTATTTGAAATTGCGAGATTCATCGATTTGAATGTATTTGGTATGATGGTTTGACCAGAATATAACCGTCTCGACGATTTTGGTAAACGAGTTTGATTATGTAGGTGTAATGTACTTTTAAATTCGTATTTCCGTATTTGTATTTGATATCTCTACTTTGACCATATTATCATATGATTATGTGGGTTTAATGTACTCTTTCAAAATCATTATATTTGTGAAATTCGTTAAAATGGGAGAATTCAGAAAACTGGTAACATATACATGTCGAAATGGTGAGACTGGTCATACTCCTAACTGGTCATACTTGTCAAAATTGGTCAAACTGGTCATATTCGTGAAATTGGTCAAAATGGTCATACTCATCAAACCTGTGACATTTTTCAAGTGTATCATTTTATCACATTTTGTGTTTATTTTATACAGGTATAATGGATGCAACTAATGAGAGGATGATGATTATTTATTATAAATCTGATGGCAAGTGGGTAGTAAAACTCGTTTACCAAAATCGTCGAGACGGTCATATTCTGGTCAAACCAGTCATACCAAATACAAATCGAAATACATTCCACCCGCATGATCTTATGACAATGATAT